CCCCACTCCCTCCCCGCCCAGCTCTGTGCTGCCCATTCCCTGCACTGCCCCTAGACCCTGATCCCTCTGTCCCTCCTGTTCTCTGCGTCCCAATCCCCGTGCCTCCACCGCATCCTGCACTCTGCTCTCCCCGATCCGTGTCCCTCTGATTCTGTGCGTCCTGTTCCCCGCGCCACCCCTGTACCTCCCCACTGTTCCCTGCACCCCTCTGTGTCTGTGCTGTCCCTGTACCCTGCTCCCTCTGTGGGTTGGGAGTGAGGGGTGCTTGTCCATAGGGAGGGGCTGGACAGGGCAGGGAAAAGGCTGCTGTCACCCAGCAGGGAGCGAAAGGGGGAGTTCACTTGAAGTGCCTTTGCCTTTATGCAAAAAAAGGGCAGACACCTGCAGGGGAGGGATCAGCACCAGAGGAGAGAGGCAGGGGGGGTGTGGGGAGGACAAAGAGAAGGGCAGGAGTCAGGACAGCAGAGGAGGGTGAGGGGCTTGGGGGAAGCAGGCACCAGGGGAGCTGATGGAGCAACGGGAGGAGACATGGCAGCAGAGGGAAAAGGTAGAGGTTTATAAAATATTTAACAACAACTTGGGTGATATTTATTAATAACTTATTAGTAATTACTGTTCTTAGTCTTATTAGGAATTTATGCCATAAAAAAAAAAAACACTTTTTGGGGTCCCTTTTTTGTTTGGCGAGTAGGGTTTTCCATAATTTGTCGAGCCCTGGTTATGCTGATATAAATTCCCAGTGTAAACTGTATCCCACTGCTACTTGTCACACCCAGACAATGTGATCTTATGAGAGTTGTAGGGATACTCTTTTCTATAGATCTGTGGAAAGCAAGGGAACTTGTTTTCAATACTCAAACGTTTGTAATACAGTCATCTTTTGGCTGAAGTGAAATCTAGCTTTCCTTTTACTGCTGCAAGTTAGAAACCTTTAAGATCAGAGAATAGAAACTAATTAGCCAAGTGCCTATTGAGCCATTTATACTACTTCCCAATCCTCACCATCTCTTTCATGCTTGCTGTCTGCATTCTACTCTTCACAGCCAGTCATTCCAAAATGTTTGCCTTTCTTTTAAGTGAACTTGCGAGTGTAACAACAATACTTAGCACTTTAAAGACTAACAAGATGGTTTATTAGATGATGAGCTTTCGTGGGCCAGACCCACTTCCTCAGATCAAATAGTGGAAAAAAATATATACCAAAGGATACAATTAAAAAAAATGAACAAATAAAAAAAGGAAAAATCTCTTTCAAAAACGGGGGGGGGATGCGGGGGGGGGGGAAGGAAGGAAGGTAAGTGTCTGTGAATTGATCAAATTGAAAGAGCCAGACGAATACCTAGAAACCATCTACTTCAAGACAGACCCAAGAAAACCAACAATAGAACACCACTTGTCATCACCTACAACCCCCAACTTAAACCTGTCCAACACATTATCAATAAACTACAGCCTATACTGGAACAGGATACCATACTCCAAGAGGCTCTGGGAGACAGACCCATAGTCTCCTATAGACAACCACCTAACCTCAAGATGATTCTTACCAACCACCACAGGACATACCACACTAATACCAACCCTGGTACCTTCCCTTGCAACAAACCCCGTTGCCAGCTTTGTCCACATATTCATTCTGCTGATACCATTATTGGACCTAACCAAGTGAGTTATAAGATCAAGAACACATATTCCTGCGCATCCAGAAATATAATCTATGCTATCATGTGCCGAAAGTGTCCGTCTGTTATGTACATTGGACTCCCACATCCCCAGTTCCCTTCCATAACACTCCTGCACCTCCACACACCCCAACCCTGAGCCCCTCATACACTCCAACCCAGATTCCTGCACCCCCTCATCCCCAGTTCCCTGACATAAGATTGACAGAAGGCAGCCTGAATGTGTGCATGAAACTGGATTTGACCAGTTATGATGTTAACTTCAAAGAAATGTGTGAAAAGATGCAATAGCAGAAGTCCCATTAAATAAAATCTGTGAGTACAAGGTTTCATTTATGCTCTTATTAATCATGTCAGTTATCAATATTAAGTTGTATATTTTCAGTCATGCAAATGGGCATTCTTATACAGCTCTTTGTTCACCACTTGTTCTGAATTTGATATAGTTTGGCTCTTTGGTTTGAAAAGGTTGCTGACCCTGATCTATAAGGTACTTGGTGTTGCCATGAGTGCAGGGGACTGGACTTGACTTCTCAAGGTCCCTTCCAGTTCTAATAGTCTATGATTCTACGATTGAACATTAAACTGCATTTTCCTACCAACGCTTGGGAGTTATATTTCAGAAGCTTCCCTCATTCTTCCCTCTGTGCCAGACTCCATAGCCAGACCACATTTCCCATGATGCATCAAGCAGAAACTGATCAGAGGGAAATATACATTGATTTAGAGAGATGTAGTCCTCCCTGCAGCTCCCACTGGCCACAGTTCCCAGTCAATGGAAACCAATGAGCCAGTGCTGGGTGTGGGGGCAATGTGTCATCAGCCCACCTATTCATTTATGTTCTATGTATTCAAATACTTACTCCACAAAGTAGATTTGTCCGTTTTCATCTGTTTCTTGCTCCCACCCATATGGCAGATCTAGAATACAGAAAATCTCTCTCAAAGCAATTTCTACAGGAAGTTTGAACTCTTAGCCTTGCTAACTATGGGAAATAAATACAAGGATTTCCATCCCTAGTACTCCTACATGCTTGACTTTAACAATGAAACCAAGCATACAAACAAGAATGGCTCACAAATCATCAAAATAAAGGAAAGAGTCTCAGATGAAAGGTCTAACATGCAGGACATATAGAACAACAAATATGGTGTGACATATGGTCATTACTAAAGGATACTGAGATGTTTGCAGAAGGCTCATAAACCTTTCACAAATTACTTTACTTGCAGTACAAACCCACAGGTTGATCCTGTCTCCTTATATGTTGCACATATCCCATGTAGCTAGGACAGAGCTAGTGTGAATGCATGGTCAAGTACAATGGCTATCAAAACACTGGATTCTACAATATTGTATATAATGCACAGTACATATCACAACATGGGAATAGGCACTAGTGTATGTATATTAGGAATGTGATACATTCAAGGAAAGAAGCAAGAAGATGTAAAACAGAATATTTTCCTACAAACCACAACATACCCATTAAAATGTTTAAAACAAGGAACTTTCCTGCTATTTCATAGAAGCTACTTGGCTGAAAATATCAGTTGTAATTCATCAGGGCGGTGACTGAAATATACCGAAAGTGTTCCAATTAGGTATGTGCACATTTTGATACCATATTAAACGTTGGCTGCACATGAACAGCCTATCCTTTTCCTTAGGCTTTAGAAATTTTATTGACACAATAAGTTGGATAAAAGATCAAATAAAAAATTCAAATTTAGTGATGGAGTCTAAGTCTGGCATGCCTATTTATAATGCTGTCTTCCCCATCGCCAGCCAAAATGTTACTAATACCCCTTTAATATTAGATTTGACTATTGAAAATGTTAATGTCATGCATCATTTACTCTTAATGAAGGACTATTCTTTTCTATGTACAACTTTGCCTCCTTTAAAAATGCAGTTTTTATTTATCCTCTACATTTATTGAAGCTTTCCCCTGACCAACAATCTTTTTGGTAAGCAAGAAGAGATCATAATAGAAAACAAGGGATTTTATTCTCTCCAGTGATAGAGATCTGCTCAACGCAAAAGGAAGGGAGGTATCAAGGGAGGGATGTTAGGGTATGTCTACACTACCACCCTAGTTTGAACTAGGGTGGTTAATGTAGGAAATCGAAGTTGCAAATGAAGCCTGGGATTTAAATATCCCGGGCGCCATTTGCATCTTGCCGGGCACCGCCATTTTTAAATCCCGGTAGTTCGGACTCCGTGCCAGCGGCTACACGCAGCACGGAGTAGGTAGTTTGAATTAGGCTAATTTGAACTACCGTTACACCTCGTTCCACGGTAACGGAAAGCCTAATTCGAACTACTTACTCCGTGCCATGTGTAGCCGTGGGCACGGAGTCCGAACTACCGGGGATTTAAAAATGGCGGAGCCCGGCAAGATGCAAATGAAGCCCGGGATATTTAAATCCCGGGCTTCATTTGCAACTTCGATTGCCTACATTAGCCACCCTACTTCAAACTAGAGTGGTAGTGTAGACATACCCTTAGATAGCATGCAATGAATAGTCATATAACCACATTGAATTTCAGCAGTTACGTGACTATTTGATCGTGGACGGGGCCGGCAGCCAGTGCATTCCCAGCCCCATCACCCCCTGCTGCTGCCCCTATATCAGAGACAGCAGCACAGGATGGCAAATGTGAACTAGGCCACAGGGGGGAACCAGTTTAAAAAACAGCTTCCCATGCAGACCGGCTCCAGCCTGCCACTCTGCGCTGCTTCTCCTGCCCCCTCACCTGCTTTGATAGAGGCAGCAGTGTGGAGGAGAGGGGCAGTGTGTGAAGGCAGGAGCAGCTCCTACCTGACCTCCTCCGCTGCCTCTGTTGGAGGCAGTAAGAGGGGGGGGCAGGAAGGTTCACAGAGCCAGCATGCATGAAGAGCTGTTTAAAAGCCTGCTCCCCACGCGTATCAGCTCCCGTCTGCCCCCTCAACCTCCACTCTGCTGTCTCTATCACAGGCAGAAGCATGGGGGTGGGGGAGGGCATGGGCTCCTGCCTCTCCCCGCTTGCTGCCTCTGACACAGAGGCAGTGGGGGAGGGGGGAATGTATGTAGTTGACAGGATTGACAGATAAGCCCAGGCTTATTGGTTAATCATGTAGTTATTTGCATGCTGACATCCCTAATCAAGGGGCCAGTTTGGAACTTGGAAGAAGGAATTCGCCTACATGAGAAGAACTTTCTGCTAGCTGAAATGATACTTACAGCCAAAACAAATGCTTTCTGTCACTTAAGTAGTGTAAAGGGGCCATAACACTATTTAAGAATCTTGCCCTAAGTCTCTGCATCCATTCCAAGGACAGGAAACAGAAGACTTTTGCACTTCTGCCTGTTCTTTGCCTGTATGTAGAAACAGTCATGCAAACTAAACATGCACAGACCCATTGCAAACATGGGGGGGCCCAGTTAATCAACAGTGCTTTGCTTATAAAATATAGCTCACAGGACTGGGGCCAAATTCAGCAAAAAACTTCCACCTAGATCCTCCATCCATTCTGATCATTACTTTGTTACAAAAGCACAACACAAACCTCCAGCAACGCGTTTTCTCTTTCCAGATTTAGGATGCTCCCACTGGGTTTTCTCTTCAAGATGACTGTTTAAAAAAAAATTAAAAAAGACTATTAAAAAGTAGCTTAAAGATGCATTTCTAATGTTTACCTTCAAATACAATGTATCATCACAGCAGTGTCCCTCCTGCATTCGAGTATAACTTTCTGTGGTGAAAAGCTTTTGAGAAAAGAAATATATTCCACATAAACATTAATAGTAGCCCCTTGCTGTTTAAAAGTAGTTTCATCAGTGCTACGTAGGGTAACCAGATTCTATGGTGCTAGGCTTTTCTGAGCCACTACAATTCAAACACAAGTTTGGATCCAAAGTCTCATTACTCAAGCTAGCAGACAGCAAGCAATCCCTCTGGACGATTAAAGAGCAACATTAACAGGCTCAGAGATTGCATACTAAAAGGCTGATGATCTTAAGGGGGATCAGCATGAAACATGCAATTATGAATTGGATCCACAGTATTCCAATGGGAATATATTATCGAAAAGTTTGAAGTCACAAAAATCCCTTTCAAAGTTTTGCCCAAGTAATCTTCATATGTGAAAGACTTGGGATTAGGGCTGTTAAAGATCGGTTAATTGAATAGTCAATTAACCTTGTGAACTCTTATCAGTTACTCGACTATTCTATAGTGCCCGGGGGTGAGGCTGGCAGCCAGTGCAATCTGGCCTCACTCCCAAGGAGCCCTTTGCTAATCCGCGCTGTGAGAGGCACCAGGGTACCAGGCGGGAGCTGGTCCATGAGGAGAGCCAGTTTAGAAGCCAGCTCCCCTCGCGGACTGGCTGCCTGTCACCTCACATTGCTGCCTCTGACACAGGAAGGGAGAAGCTGAGCTCCCAGACCTGGTGCAAGCCAGAACTGAGCCGGCTGCTTGCTTGCCTGCCTGGTTGCTAATACACTTTAAATGCAGAGCCAGAGCAAGGGTAGGTCCTGGACCCAGCATGAGCCAAGAATGAGTAGGGATGCTGGCTAGTCTGCTAAAAATTTTACTAGCGGGAGGGTGAGGGGAAATGCGTGTAGTCTATAGCATTAACCTATAAGCTTTTGTGTATCCGTTAATCGATTACACTATTACATCCCTACTTGGGATGTCTGCCTTAGCAAGTGTAACTTAACAGAAGTTTACACAGCCCAAAAGAAGGAATACTACTTAGCTACAGGCCAGCAAACCACCAATTTATTCATTAATTCCGCGTTTCTAAAGCTGTGGGTCCTGACCCCCAGGGAGTCACGAGCAACTTAGAGAGGGGTCGTGGTATCACAAAGTTTGAGAAGCCCTGTAGTAATTGGTTCATTTAAACAGGCTCATAATGGCATCATCTCTCATCCATTCTATTCACTTGAAAAATAAATTTAACCACGGCTTTCTACATTTGAGCTCAGGTAAACAAGCAGGGCCAAATGAAGGCATATAGATTATAGACAAATGCTCAGGACCACCTCTGGGGAAGGGAAATCAAGGGGCCAACTGCCTCAGAGCCCAGCAATTCAAAGGGGCTCTTGGCCACTGCCATTGCAGCAGCATCAACTAGAGCCCTGTGCCTTTTAAACAGCTGCTGGAGCGCTGCACACTCCAGACAGTGAGAAGGGTTGAGGGGAAAGGCAATGCAATGCTCCAGGCAGTGCTGAGGGCTGCCTGGGGGCTAGCGTAGTGTACTCACTGAGGTACTCAGGGCTGGCTGCCCTGTCCCTTCCAGGAGTGTGAAGCACGCTCCTCCCCTTCAACCTTGCCCAGGGGCCCATGGAGGCTGTTGGCACCCCTGTCCATGCTTAGAACACTAGCTTGTTATTGAATCAGAATCTCTTTTCATCTAAAAGAAAGTGCATTTCTAACGTTCATATCTGGGAAGAAAAACTTGTAAGCATGCCCCAAGAGTAACCACTGCAATGATGCCTATTTCCAACTGTCTGCAGACTTGGGCAAAGGCTCTGTGAGGTAAAACTTGACTCTGCATCTCAAGGAGGTGTTGACCCACTGCTCTGGGGCACTCTGCAAACACCACTAGGGATGTTAAGAAGCAGGATATTTAACTAATCAAGTAGTAATAGAATTTTTATCGACTACTCAATTAGTCGATCGGCAGCCAGTTTAGTTCCAGCTTGCTCCGGCTCTGGGACCAAACCCCGCTGCAACTCTGCAATTTGAAAGGCAGGAGGAGCTGGGCAGCCTGCCCACCCCCTGGCTCCTTCTGAATTTTAAATAACAGACATGCAGCAGGGTTTGGTCCCAGACCAGCGCCATCAGGGACTGAACCAGACTGCCTGCTGCATCCTACTACATTTTAAATGCAGAGCCCGCTGCAGCCCCTGTCCATGGGGAGTCCCAGCGTTCAGATCCCTGTGGACAGGGGCTGTGACTGTGGACAGCCCCATAGCTCCCTCTTCCCTCCACTGCCTCTAATAGAGGCAGCAGAACTGGGGGGAGGCAGCACCACAGAGATGGTGCTGGGGAGAACCAGCTTGCAAGATGGCTTCCCACAGCACCAGCTCCTGCTTCCCCTTACTCCTTGCTACTTCCAATACATGCAGCAAGGCGGGGGGAGGGGGAGGAGGAATATAAGTAGCCCTTACATCCCTAAACACCACCCAAGCAGAATAAAAAGAGTAGGAAGGGTGAGGCCTGGATTAAGTTCTGCTGTTTCATCCCTAATACTACTTGTGCCTCTCAGTGGTAAAGAAGAAACCTTTTAATATCCCAGGAGAGAAAAAAAAAGGTGACCATTCTATTGCCCCTCACACTCTCCAAGTGGCTCCAGGGTTCCATTCACACACCATGGCTCCACCTCCCCCACACTCCAAGTAAGGTGGTTTGGCCATTATGCAGAGCTGGGGTTGGGAACACAGCCTATTATCTTTATCCAATCCTGGGTACAAGACATATTTTATTCCTCAAGAAATAAAGAAGTAAAGGTCAAACCAAAATTTTCCAACCCATTGTTTAACTAAAGAGCTTGAGAGAGAGAGAGAATCATAGAATCCTGGAGTTGGAAAAGACCACAGGAGGTCATCAGGTCCAGCCCCCTGCCCAAGGGAGGAGAAATCCCAACTAAATCAACCCAGCCAGGACTTTGTCAAGCCGAGACTTAAAAACCTCTATGGATAGAGATTCCACCACCTTCCTAGGTAACCCATTCCAGTGCTTCACCACTCTCCTAGGGAAATAGTTTTTTCTAATATCCAACCTACACTTCTCCCACTGTAACTTGAGACCATTGCTCCTTGTTCTGCAATCTGTCACAACTGAGAACAGCCTTTCTCCGTCCTCTTTGGAACCCCCCTTCAAGAAGTTGAAGGCTACTATCAAATCCCCCCTCACTTTCTCTTCTGCAGACTAAACAAACCCAAATCCCTCATAGGTCATGCGCTCCAGCCCCCTTATCATTTTGGTCGCCCTCCGCTGGACCCACTCCAATGCATCCACATCCTTTCTATACTGGGAAGCCCAGAACTGGACCCAATACTCCAGATATGCCCTCACCAGAGCCAAATAAAGAGGAATAATCGCTTTTCTGGATCTGCTGGCAGTGCTCCTCCTAATGCACCCTAATATGCCATTAGTCTTCTTGGCTACAAGGGCACATTGTTGACTCATATCCAGCTTCTCATCCACTGTAATCCCTACGTCCTTTTCTACTAAACTGCTACTTAGACATTCGGTCTCCAGCCTGTAACAATGCTTGGGATTCTGTCCTTGTTGAACCTCATCAGATTACTTTTGGTCCAATCCCCTAATCTATCTAGGTCACTCTGGACCCTATCCCTGCCCTCTAGCATATCTACCTCTCCCCCTTTAGTGTCATCTGCAAACTTCCTGAGGGTGCAATCCATCCCTTCATCCAGGTCATTAATAAAGATGTTGAACAAAACTGGTCCAAGAACAGATCATTGGGGCACTCTGCTAAGAACCAACTACCAACCTGACATCAAGCCGTGGATTACTACCTGTTGGACCTGACAGTCTAGCCAGCTTTCTATTCATCTTATAGTCCACTTATCCAATCCATATTCCCTTAACTTGCTGGCAAGAATACTGTAGGAGACCTTATCAAAAGCTTTGCTAAGTCAAGGTATATCACATCCACCAACTTTCTCATATCCACAGAGCCTGTTACCTCATCATAGAAGCTAATCAGATTTGTCTTGCCCTTCATGAATCCATGTTGACTATTCAGGATCACTTTCCCCTCTTCCAAGTGCTTCAAAATCGATTCCTTGAGGATTCCCTCCATTTTTCCAGGGACTGAAGTAAGGATGACTGGTCTGTAGTTCCCTGGATTGTCCTTCTTCCCTTTTTTAAAGATGGGCACTACATTTGCCTTTTTCTAATCATCCAGGATCTCTCCCGATCTCCATGAGTTTTCAAAGATAATGGCCAAAGGCTCCACAATGACTTTGCCAACTCCCTAAGTACCCTCAGATGCATTAAATCCGGGCCCATGGATTTGTGTATGTTTAACTTTTCTAAATAGTTCCCAACTTGTTCTTTCTCCACCAAAGGCCATGCACCTCCTTCCCATTCTGTGTTGCCTAGTGCATTTGTCTGGGAGCTGACCTTGTCTGTGAAGACAGAGGCAAAGAAAGCATTGAGTACTTCAGCTTTTCCCACATCATCTGTCACTAGGTTACCTCCCTCTTCCAGTAAGGGCCCCACACCCTCTTATTGCTAACATTCCTGTAGAAATCTTTCTTGTTATCCTTCACTCCCTTGCTAGCTGCAATTCCAACTGCACCTTCACCTTCCTGATAACTCCTCTGCATTCTCGAGCAATATATTTATACTCCTCCCTACTCATCACTCCAAGTTTCCACTTGTGTTTAAGCTCACCAAGAATGTCCCCGGTAAGCCAATCTGATCGCCTACCATATTTGCTTTTCTTGCTGCACATCGGGATGGTTTCTTTCTGTGCTTTCAGTAAGGCTTCTTTAAAATACTACTAGCTCTTCTGGATTCCTTTCCCCTTCATGTAAGCATCCCAGGGAATCCTGCTCATCAGTTCTCTGAGGGAGTCAAAGTCTGCTTTTCTCAAGTCCAGGGTGTGTATTTTGCTACTCTCCTTACTTCCTTTGGTCAGGATCCTGAAATCTACCATCTCATGATCACTGCTTCCCAGATTGTCACCCACCTCTACTTCCCCTACTAGTTCCTTCCTGTTTGTGAGCAGCAGGTCAAGCTGCACATGGCCCCTGGTCAGTTCCTACAGGACTTGTACCAAGCAGTTCTCCAAAAACTTCCTGGATTGTCTGTGTATTGCTATATCAGTCTCCCAACAGATGTCAAGGTGATTAAAGTCGCCCATGAAAACCAAGACCTGAGATCTGGAAGCTT